AAATCCCTTACAATTATACAGTGGAATTGAGAAATAGATTTAAGGAGCAAGATCTGATAGACAAGAGTGTCTAATGAACTACGGATGGAGGTTCGTGACATTGTGCAGGAGAGAGGGATCAAGAACATCCCTAAGAAAAAGAAATGCAAAAAAGCAAAATGACTTTCCGAGGAGGCCTTAAAATAGCTGTGAAAAGAAGAGAAGCAAAAAGCAAAGGAAAATAGGAAAGATACACCCATTTTAATGCATAGTTCCAGAGAATAGCAAGGAGAGATAAGAAAGCCTTCCTCAATGATCAGTGCAAAAAAATAGAGGAACACAATAGAATGGGAAAGACTCGAGATCTCTTCAGGAAAATTAGAGATACCAAGGGAACATTTCATGGAAAGATGGGCTCAATAAAGGACAGAAATGTATGGACCTAACAGAAGCAGAAGATATTAAGAAGAGGTGGCAAGAATACACAGAACTGTACAAAAAAGATCTTCACGAGCCAGATAATCACAATGGTGTGATCACTCACCTAGAACCAGACATCCTGGAACGTGACGTCAAGTGGGCCTTAGGAAGCATCACTATGAACAAAGCTAGTGGAGGTGATGGAATTCCAGTTGAGCTCTTTCAAATCCTAAAAGATGATGCTGTGAAAGTGCTGTACTCAAAATGCCAGGAAGTTTGGAAAACTCAGCAGTGGCCACAGGACTGGAAAAGGTCTGTTTTCATTCCAATTCCAAAGGCAATGCCAAAGAATGCTCAAACTACCGCATAATTGCAGTCATCTCACACGCTAGTAAAGTAATGCTCAAAATTCTCCAAGCCAGGCTTCAACAGTACGTGAACTGTGAACTTCCAAATGTTCAAGCTGGTTTTAGAAAAGGCAGAGGAACCAGAGATCAAATTGCCAACATCTGTTGGATCAGCGAAAAAGCAAGGGAGTTCCAGGAAAACATCTATTTCTACTTTATTGACTATGCCAAAGCTGTTGACTGTGTCCATCACACTAAACTGTGGAAAATCCTTAAAGAGATGGGAATACCAGACCATCTGACCTGCCTCTTGAGAAACCTGTATGCAGGTCAGGAAGCAGCAGTTAGAACTGGACATGGAACAACAGACTGGTTCCAAATAGGGAAAGGAGTAAGTCAAGGCTGTATATTGTCACCCTGCTTATTTAACTTATATGCAGAGCACATCATGAGAAACGCTGGGCTGGAAGAAGTACAAGCTGCAATCAAGATTGCCCAGAGAAATTTCAATAATCTCAGATATGCGGATGACACCACCCTTATGGCAGAAAGTGAAGAAGAACTAAAGATCTTCTTGATGAAAGTGAAAGAGGAGAGTGAAAAGTTGGCTTAAAATTCAGCATTCAGAAAACTAAGATCATGGCATCCGGTCCCATCACTTCATGGCAAATAGATGGGGAAACAGTGGAAACAGTGATAGGCTTTATTTTGGGGAGCTCTAAAATCACTGCAGATGGTGACTATAGTCATGAAATTAAAAGACGCTTACTCCTTGGAAGGAAAGTTATGACTGATCTAGAAAGGATATTAAAAAGCAGAGACATTACTTTGTTAAAGGTCCGTCTAGTCAAGGCTATGGTTTTTCCAGTAGTCACGCATGGATGTGAGAGTTGAACTATAAAGAAAACTGAGCGCAGAAGAATTGATACTTTTGAACTGTGGTGTTGGAGAAGACTGTTGAGAGTCCCTTGGACAGCAAGGAAATCCAACCAGTCCATCCTAAAAGGAGATCAGTTCTGAATGTTCATTGGAAGGAATGATGTTGAAGCTGAAACTCCAATACTTTGGCCACCTGATGCGAAGAGCTGACTCATTTGAAAAGACACTGATGCTGGGAAAGATTGAGGGCAGGAGGAGAAGAGGATGACAGAGGAAGAGATGGTTGGATGGCATCACCAAGTCAGTGTACATGATTTTGGTTAATCTTTGGGAGTTGTTGATGGACAGGAGGGCCTGGTGTGCTGTGGTCCATGGGGTCACAGAGTCAGACATGACTGAGTAACTGAACCGATCCTTAAATCCTCAAAATTTTTCTTAAATCTAATCATACTTATATAGCAAGTTAATAATGATTATTGTGGCAGCTACCATGTTACAGACTTCTGTGGAAATTTGTTATAGAGAGATGTAATTAGGAATAATTTTTAAAAATATCACCCAAATAGTTCACATGTCAATTTATTCAGTTAGATTGAAGTGGGTTTGTTCAGTACTGAAACATTTAACATCAGATAGCAAAGAGTAAGTTTTGAGGGGGAGAGGGGAGATTTTTTTTCATTTTATAAGTTTTGGAGTTAAAAAAAATTTTTTTTAAATTCCATTTCTTTATTGTTACCTCCCTTTGAGCTACTTTTAGTGTTTGAAAAATAACTTGGTAAGGCCTGCAGAGGTAAGAGAGATTCTGAGGCTATATCTCCAGCTCAATGAGGAGGAGTCACATGACACTAACTGTTGCAACTGGTACAGGGTGAAAGTGACCAACAAGTATGGTTTACTTCCCCTCTCTCGTTTAGATTACTTGGTACTCAGAGTCTCATGAGAGCAGACCGTTGTTAGGCAGGGCTGTAGATACTTGGTTATTGGTTCTAAATGAATCTACTTCTGTTGCAGTTAAAAGAACATACATAACTGAATACAGAAGGGTATTACCAGTACAGACCTTATATAACTAGATGGAATTCCCTTGGTATACTTACTGTTTGGGTGGTCTGGGTGTTAGCCTTGTAGACTCAGAAATGCAATTGTTACTGTGCATACAAGATATTGAACTCTAGGGAACAGAGTGGTATTGCAAAAAAAAAAAAAAATTGCAAAAAACTAATAAAAATAACAAGTTTATTAACTTTATTATAATAGCAATGTTATAATAGGAACAGGAAGAATAATGATCGTATATACTAGATACTTGTGTTTATGGATGACTAACTGGCTTCCCTGGTGGCTGAAATGGTAAAGGATGTGAAATTTACTCAGTCATGTCTGACTCTTTGCAACCCCATGGGCTGTATAGTCCATGGAATTCTGCAGGCCACAATACTAGAGTGGGTAGCCTTTACCTTCTCCAGGAAGTCTTCCCAACCCAGGGATTGAACCCAGGTCTCTTGTATCACAGGTGGATTCTTTACCAACTGAGCCACAAGGGAAGCCCAAGAATACTGGAGTAGGTAACCTATCCCTTCTCCAGTGGATCTTCCCAACCCAGGAATTGAACCTGTGTCTCCTGCGTTGCAGGCAAATTCTTTACCAACTGAGCTATCAGGGAACCCCCAAATGGTAAAGAAACCACCTTAAATGCAAGAGACCTGGGTTCCACCCCTGGGTCTGGGTCGGGAAGATCTCCTGGAGAAGGGAATGGCAATCCACTCCCATATTCTTGCCTGGAGAGTTGCACAAACAGAGGAGCCTGGTGGCCTATAGTCCATGGAATCGCAAAAAGTCAGACATGACTGAGCAACTTTCACTTTCTTTTCACTTCTTTCAACTGGATAAATATCTACTCATAGAGTTAACAGGAAAGGAAGGTTTTCTGTCTGGACCTAAACTCTAGGTAGAGAGAAAAAGAGGACTTCTCTAGGAAGTTATAAGCATAAACATACCCTCATGTGGATTTGAGGTTATGTTGGCAGGATAGTCTGGGAACCCCCACACACCCCCCAAACCAAGAAAATAAGAAACAAAGTAGCTCCTAAACTACTTGGTAAATCCAAGCATGAAACACTCTGAACAGCTCTCCCAGCTCAGACTACACAGGATTTCCTCAATAAGTCCTGAACTCACAATCTAGGATTACAAAATACACAAGGAAATCGTTTATTAAGAGAAGAGTCAAGACCAGGATTATAAATGCAAGGAATTCAAATGATAGATTTATCAGATAGAGACTATAAAATAAATATGTACAAATGATTAATGACTCAAATCTCTGTACCTAAGGTATTATATACAAGCCATACAAAGAAATATGCTTATGAAATTAAAATTCATGGAGAATTGAACATTAAATTAGACACAGTGAAATGAGAAAAGGTTAACTGGATCTTGTGAAGAACGTGAAGGAGTTATTCAGACTGTAGAACAGGAGATATATAAATTTGTAAAAATATGAAGGAAAGAGGTAATTCAACGTAATTTGATATGATTTTCTAGCGAAAAGAATAGAGAAAATAACAAAGAGGCTATCAAAGGCATAGTGGCTGATGATTTTTCAGAACTACTGAAACACGTGAGTCTCCAGACTCAGGAAAATTCAAGAAGTCTGAAGCCAGATAAATTAAAAGAAATACACACTTAGACATGTTGTAGTAAGATTGCTCAAAACCAGCCATAAGGAGATCTTAACAACAACCAGAAATGAGATAAATTACAAAAGAGCAGTACTAAGCCAACAGTGGGCTACTATTTCAAAGCACTGAGGTGAATTAACTAACAACTAGAATAAACTACCCAGCTAAACTATCATTTAAGTATGAGACTGAAATAAAGACATTTTCAGTGCCTGGGAGAATTTGCTATTAAAAGAGCTTCACTGAATGAACTTCTAAAGGATAGTCCCTAATAAGTGAATTTTAACACAGAGGAAGAGATGAAATGCAAGGGAAAAAACGTTTGGTGAGAGGAGCATTAAAAAATAAATAAATGTTTCCTCATCTTATTTCCTTTTCTGTGGATGTGGAGAATACATAGGATTTACTTTCATTACAAACATTTTCCCAACGTCTGTATATAGCGGAGCTGAGTGTGACTTTGTATTTTAAAGATTTTAAAATACTTCTTAAAAGGGAAGATTTTATTGTTAATGATTCACAAAACAAAAGATTAATTGTGACTATTTCCAAATTGTAAGTTATCATTGGTTTGGGTTTTTCCTTATGATTTTCAGTATGTTCTAGTTTTATAAATAAAGATATTACAGTATTTTAGTTGGGAATAAACTATTTTTATAAAGATATGTAACAGTAATTCCTCTTCATTTAGATCAAATCCTTTTTATGAACCTAAACCAACTCCTCCTCCAAACAATTTGCTAAGTCCAGTTCAAGAACTGGAAACTGAAAGGCGAGTAAAAAGAAAAGCTCCAGCCCCACCAGCCATCTCACCAAAGACAGGAGGAGTAAATGAAAACACAGGTGTTTCTGCAGGAAGAGATCTCTCCACTTCTCCTAAGGTAGGAGTTTAATCTTATTAAAATATGTATTAATGTTGGCTTGTTTTCAAATTAAGAAAAGTCATGGTTAGCTATTAATATTTTGATGATATAAAAGCAAAATAAAAGTAAATCCATTATACTGCAACATTGTATATGTATTTGGAAGTCTATAAATTTATAGTACATTATAGATTGGATTGTCTGGGTTAAGATTTGCTTTTTAAATGCTGTTTTGAAATCAGAGGGAGAAAAGCAGTATAATTGTAGGATTGGTGCTTTGCAAGAAGGATATATTCTAAAGCAGCTAGTCATGATAGATATCTTACTCTAATACAGAGGAAAGAATAGAAATCATAGTTTTGAGAAATGTACAAGAAAGATTGACACCCAGTGCAGAGAAATACTTTGCTGAAGAATTTCAATATTGCCCCTTTGATTTATGTCAGATTACAATTGTGGCCTTATTGTCATTCTTTTTTAGAAATGTTAATGGATAATAACTTCATGGAAAGGTAAAGTGCAGTCTTAGAACAAAGTCTAAAGCTTCTAAATGGTTTGACTGCAAATAGTATATCTTTCATCTAAAAGGTAGAGATGTTGGATTTAGCAAGTTTTTTAAGGTAAATAACTCATGACAGTACTCATGAGTGTTTTGTTGTTGTTACCATATGACATTATTTAATTCTCACAGGTAGTTAGGGGGGAAAAGAGATGAACTTGAATTCAGAAGGATAAAGGTCACAGGTCCCCCAGCCAACAGACAGGATTGGAACTGGCATATTCATTAATTACGTGCTCTCTGGACCATATTCCATCTCAGATGCCTGGGCTGCTGCTTTTCTCAAGGGCATCAAGTTTCAGTAGTTCCTGTTGTATTTTATAGTTCTTTCTGTGCCTTTCATTAAATGCCAGAGTTCTGAAATAGTTTGTTTGCTTTTATTTTCGTTGTTTGAGGGGGAGTGAGTTCACTGAGGTCTTCACTCTGCCATTCTATAAGTCAGTCTCCAGGTGTGTGTTTTTATATCAGGTGTGTTTAACTGTGTGTAACTTTAGGAGGAGAAACTAGGACTACATTCTGTCTTGCTGTTGGCTAGGGAAGTTGGGAGTGGAGTCTAAATGAAGGCAATAGAAAATAGAAATATAAAGCAAAAGAGATGGTCAATTCCTATACCCATGAGAGCAAAAATAAAGGCAGCAATTGAGGCACTGGTCAAAATAAAAAAGCTGTTTAGATTCTTTATCCTTTCTAACCATCAAGAATACCTACAACTGTCCTGTTTCCCTGAATCTCTGTTCTTGTTGCCTACTCTCTCCCTGTCCCCCTTCTGTAGGCCGTTGAAGTTTGAAGCTAATCACAAAATCCTAATCTCTTCATAGGTGAATGGAAAGGAATTTAACAGTACCTTATTGTGTGCCAGGCAATGTTCTATAATTTCATTTGATCCACAAAACAACCTGAGAAGTAAATAGCATTATTTCCTTTTTACACTGAGAAACTGAACCTTAGTTAAGTAACTTGCTCAAAGTGATAAAACTGGTATTGACAGTGCCAGGATTAAAATTCAGGTTTTTTGAGTCTAAAACCCACGTTTCCCATTGTGCCTTTCTATCTCTAGAGAGGTATTTCCAGTTTCAACTTAGAACTCTATAAATACATTTCTCCATAGAAATATTGTTACTCATGGTGATTTAATTCTATTGAAGTATAACATAGCTATTTTTTATGTTGTTTTGAAGGTAGTGTTCCATTGTAGACATATTGTGGAATAAATGATCTTTATGGGGAAAACTGAGCATTTTACCACCATGCTTCTATTGGAAAATGCCTCCTCATGTTCAGATACACAATCAGTTTTATTCACAGTAACCTGCTGATCTGGAAGTTAGTTTGGATAACTCAACTGTGTGAAATACAACTATGAAAGATTAATTTTTAAAAAGATTGCTGATATTATTATTAAGTGAGAAAAAACAAAGTGTATAACTGTATAGTATGATAACTTTTGTATGTATAAAGTTTTATTTAAAAGGCTTTATTCACACACATATATACACGTAGACAGACATGCATGCTCCTATACATTATGGAAGGACTCACAAGTAACTTTGAGGAGAAGATCTTGAGGGGATGGTGGGTATGTACAAGATTGAAGGAGGCATTTCTTTTCCTTTTTCCCCTTTCTATGTTGTTTAAATATTTGAATTTTATAAAATGTTTTTCTTCTCTCTTTGTTATACTCAGAGGCTATTGAGTAATGAGATCATGGATCTTTTTTATTGTTGCTTTTTGTACAAGATACCAGATGACATTTCCCCCCAAAATTCATCCCTCAAAATAGAGAAAGTTATTTTCAGGTTTGACCATCAGTATTAGCTTCGTGGTGGCCTGGGTTTCCATCAGACACCTCAGTGTTGTGCACTGGGAACCATGCATAGAGGCTTAAGAATAGAAAACTTGATCTTCTGTTCCGTTTCCATAGCACAAATCTTTTTATTTTATATATTTATGTAAGATTTCATTTGGAAAAAAAAAAAACTGAACCATTGCCCAGGAAAAAAAAAAAGGTAAGAAAGAAATTGGAAACCACTAACTGCACAGTTATATGTGAGATAAGGAAGAAGATTAGAATCAATGGCATATTGATGATAATCAAAAATGATAAATGATAGCTGAAAAAGAGCAGTGGCATGGGGCTTATTATAGGAATAGACTTGTTTGTGTGTGTGTGCATGTATGTGTGTGCATATCCAAGTAATTCCTGAAGACTTTGTTTGCAGTACTAAAGCTTAGTAAAATAATGACCATTTTGACAACCTTGAGTCAAAATGAAAGAGTCTTATTATGCTTCATATATAATGTTCTGTTTAGGAAAGCAGGACAGTGTGTTTTATATCAAAATATTTATACTAAAATTAGTGTTTTGATGCTTAAAACAATATGCTTCTTGGCCAATTATTTACTATATTTTTAAATTGAAAAGGAAGCAATAGTTCAAATAAGCATTTGGGAAAAGAAAACAGACTCAAAATTTAGTTGAATAATAAAAGAATATTTATACCAATATTTATACCAAATATCTATATTTTGTTTTGGATAACAAAATGATAAACTGCACTCAGTAGCAATTGACTGCAGAGGCTAATCACAGTCATAGAATGAGTGCTCAGCCAGATGATTACTTTCCTCCACCTGTAATCTGAAACTACTTATTTTTAAGAAAATTTATGAAAAAAAGCCAAGACCAGAATTTAAACAGATAATATACATATACTTATATTGTAAATAAAATTCAAACTACCGCATAAAGGCAATTAAGAATCCCCCAGTGTCATAAATCTATATAAACTCCTCACTCCAGACCAATGATTTCTGCATTTATAAAATGAGAAAACTATAACACTTTTTAAGCCAACGTGGTAAAAAAGACCAATGTTTAGGGAAGTAACCTGACATTTAAAACACAAGCATCCAGTAAGATAAAGTGATAAATTAGGCTCAATGGTGGCTGATCACCATTTACTGACTGTGAATTTAAGTTAATATGTATATAACTCTGAACTCCTAGATATGATTTATGCAACTTAGTATAAAATACAAGTCAGATAATAAGAGCTTAGGTACATAAATGACCTTGTTGCCAAATACATCACAAAGGTATTTTACTAAGCACTGTATACCTAATTCTGTAAAAATCACAATATAAATAGCTAATTGTCAGTGACAAAGAATTTTTAAAAATTCAGCTTGCATTTATGATAACGTGGAGAAGCTGCCCCCCGACCCACCTCTGCATGTTGGATGGTGAAATAAGCCTGATCATGTGGAGAAGGGCTCCCTCAAAAAGCCTGATTAGTCGAATTCCAGTGATTAGCAATGAAACACTGTCCACTTACTCCATCTCTGAAAGTGGAAATGTTATTCATATCTAAAGGCTCAGCTAAGTGACTCAAGCCTTCACTCATACTATTACCTCTTTCTCAAATGCTCTTATAGAGACCCAAGTTTTACACTTGTATGTTTTTGAGTACTTACAATTTGCAGAAACTGTAAGAAGCCCAGGTTATACCGAAGTCAGAATTACATACAGCAGTCTGTTTGATTGATCCTTGCAGCAAATTCAAACCACAAAACAAACATGCTTTTCAGTTTTTATACATCTGTTCAGTTCAGTCCAGTCGCTCAGTCGTGTCCGGCTCTGCGACCCAATGAATCGCAGCATGCCAGGCCTCCCTGTCCATCACCAACTCCCAGAATTTACCCAAACTCATGTCCATCGAGTCAGTGATGCCATCCAGCCATCTCATCCTCTGTTGTCCCCTTCTCCTCCTGTACCCAATCCCTCCCAGCATCAGGGTCTTTTCCAATGAGTCAACTCTTCACATGAGGTGGCTGAAGTATTGGAGTTTCAGCTTCAGCATCTGTCCTTCCAATGAACACCCAGGACTGATCTCCTTTAGGTTGGACTGGTTGGATCTCCTTGCAGTCCTAAGGACTCTCAAGAGTCTTCTTCAACACCACAGTTCAGAAGCATCAATTCTTCAGCACTCAGCTTCCTTCACAGTCCAACTCTCACATCAAACTATTAATTTCCTCATATGTAAGTTGAAAGTACCTTATAACTTCGAAGGAAAATCATTAAAAGGAATGAAGATCAAAATTTAATTGAATACAATGATAAATGTGTAGTTGTTTTGTAAAATAAAAAGCCAAACTGCATTCAATGATAGCTTGCAGAGGGCACAGTGGGGATAAGCTTAAGTTACTGGTAAAGGTTTTATTTACTGGAATACCTTACTTACCAGAATACCTTGTTCCTCAATAATACAGAATAGACAAGGCACTGCTTTATGTATCACCTGGTCTGTTGGTTAGTATTCTTTTGGTTATGACTAATAGAAGGAAGCCATTTTGTTAAATGTTTTTTTTTTTTTTCCTTAAGAAAAAGGATAACTTGTTTAGAAAACACAAGGAAATTTTTGCAAAACCAAAGGGAAAAGATACAACTGGGACTGAGTTG